TTTTATTCCAATAATAATTGACTGGAAGATTTTCTTTTTTAATTTTATTTAATACTTAAGATAATTTAAAGTAATGAATCACCAAAGGCTTAATTTTTATAGAACCTAATAAAATATACAAATATATAAATAAATAAAATTATTTTAAAAAATCAAATCTTTTAATACCTGTAAAATTTGAGCAAAAAAGAATTATCACTTTTTGCTTATTCTTTTTCTTTCCAATTATTGTTTCTTTAACAAAAGACCTTAAAGGTTTTATTTTCCAATAAAAACCTGTTTTATCATAGTTAAATATATTATCTAAAGGCCAATCCTTTAATAATTCTTGTAAAGATTCTTTAAATCTGGGAAGTTTTTTTAATGGAATATCACTTCCTTCTCTATGATATACAAACTGTTTCAAATTTGCTCTTTTTTTAAAATTTATTAACTATTTTTCTGATGTATTAAAATCAAAAATTTTTAATAATTTTGCAAATTTCTGGACCTAATATGTTAAAATAAATCCAGTAATAGTTAAATTTACCTTTAATGCTTTGTTAACCTATAATATTACTGCTTTTTTCAATAAAGGATATTTGGGACTTCTTTTTTTTTTTTTTTGAACTTCAAAACTGCTAAGGTCAATATTAAGCCAATAGTTACTATTTTTCAGAATTTTAGAAACAATACTATAACTAATATTATATTTTGGAATCAAAGTTTTAACTTGGATATCAGGATTCTTTTATTTTAATAAACAAAGTGTATGTTTTTGATATCCATTTAAAGTGTATTTAGCAAATTTTATATTATATCTTATTTTGTTTAATATAATAATTGTAAGAATAAAATAGAAGTTTTGGGAAAGAGAATTTAATCAATTGACATAAAATATGTATGCATATATAAGAATATCAATTATTTATATTTTCCAAATTAATTTTTGTATCCTAGCTCAAAAAAAATAAAAAAAAAGATTTAAATATTCTTTATTAAAAAAAGTAACAATAATATGTATTAAAAATATATTAAAAATAAATTTAATCCTTATTGGTTTTATCTAATGCATAAAGTACAGAAATTTGCAAAATATTAAAAATATCTAATTTTAATGCATCAGAATAATGGTTAACAAAACCTGAAGATATTGATTTGCTCCGATTTGTTTTGCTTTTCAAAAAAAAGCAAATTAAAAATAATTTTGTATATTATTAATAAAAAAATAGTACACCATTACAATAACTTTCAAAATTTAAAGAATTTATGCAAAAATTATTAAAGAATTGGCCTCTAGACAATATATTTATTTGTAATGAAACTAGGGTTTATTAAAAAATGGAACTTTCAAAATAAGCAATATTTAAAAAAAATAAATAAACAAAGAATAGCATTTTTTTTTTGTAAAAATTTTACCAGAATAAAAGGATTTTACTTTTTATATTGATTTTATTTACTTATATTTTATATTTTATTAGGTTTGATAAAAATTAAGCTATTAATTAATTATTACTTTAAATTACTTTAGGTATTGAATAAAAGATCTACTAGTTACTAATTACTGGAATAAAATTATTTGGATAACTATTACAATTAAAATAAATTTTTAATTCAACAGAAAAATTTAGAATTTTAAAAAAAATAAAAGATTTTTTGATTATTTTTTCACCACTTTTTATTTATATAGGAAAAGAATAAAATAAATTTTTTTATTATAAAAATTAAATTATTTAAAAAAATATAATATATTAATTAAAAACAATATTGAGTAAAATTGGTCATAGGATATATTTAACGGTATGTTTATAAATTTTTATAATATCCGCACATTTAAGAGCATTATGCATCCTTTTCATTGGTAATTAATTAAAGGTAAATCGGACGTTGTTTGTATTTGAAGAGTAATCAAAAGAAAATGTTTTCGGGAATTTTATTTTAATGTTCATTTCTTCGATATGAAGAATAAACCTTTGATATACCTTCCCTCTTTCGTCATCTGGTACTCCTCCGCGAAGAGAAGAGTGTTAAAGAAGTTCTTATAATTGCTGCCATCATATAGCCAAAGATCCTTGAGTTCGCTAGTCAAAAGAGCATCTGATTCGGACTCGGCAAAAATTTTTTTCAAATTTGGAGGGATCTAAATTCGGGCGGCAGGATTTCGAAATCCAACAGGACTGCCAAGAACAATCCTTTTGTTTTTCATAAAATCGAACTCCTTACACCGTTCGCGTTTCTAGGGTGATTTTTGTCCGAGTAATTTAAAGATCTCGTTGTTGCTGGTCATTATTCGCTTTGATCAAGAAACAGCAAATACTGTAGCAAGTATATGGGCAACATGAGAATCACAAGTATTATGAAAAACAAAAGGTGGCTCATTTTGTCTATTGTGCGACTTCTATGGATATCACATATTTGATCGTAAATAATAAAGGATTCAATGTATGTAACGAAATCACTATTAATGGAATCAAAGGACAAGTGATGGTGCATAAGAAAGATTGAAATGATCCTTCCCATTCCTAATGTGTTCAATTTTCAAATCAAAAATTCACTTACTAAGGTATTTGACAATTTCTTTATCAAAACGTAAATGAATATACCTTTTAAAAATATCATTTTTTAAAGTCGGCTATTAAAAATTACATTATTTTTTTGATGCTAGAAGCTACAGTAGTCTGTCAGAAGAATACAATTTATTATCTCGGTTTATGTAACGCAAACAAAAAACAAACGTAATCAGTACTTAACAATTTCGTGGAAGCGATTGTATTATCTAATCTGATTTTTTTTAATTTTTAGCAATCAGTCCTCCAATCTTTGCCGTCCCGACATTCTCTAATGTCGTTATTGATTTTTTAAAGATTCTTTCAAAAGTGTCGAGCTCCAATTTCTAGGTTTATTTCTTGCTTATTCTCGCAGCAATCATAAGATAGCTATTATAAAATTAATCACATACATCCTTCATTGATAATTATCAAAGTTAAAATCTGTGACATTTAAAAAGTTGACGTTAATCATATGCGCGTACTGTACTATGCTAATTAGAAAAATGAATGCATATTAACTTTTCAAGGCAACGACCAGTGCAGTCAATTATACTTTTAAGCACATGTACTGTACAGTATATTGATTTCGATAATACGTACGTATTAAGATAGATTTACAAATTTCGTGATAATTACTTTGTCATTACACTTATCCTCATCGCAGTCAAGTTTTCCCCATGAAATCCTTGTGAAATAGGCATACTGTATTTCGGTCATGACGTTTGGAGTCTTCCGCAAGAACTAATTTGTGGAATGGAGTTGCAAATAAATAATGAAATTAATCTAAATTAATATGTATCTGTTTAAACCAACCTGTTACAAAAAATTCATTACTTATTTACAGTAGTGTAATGCTCGCTATTTTTCAATAAAAAGGTCAACATTCAGCAATATTAAAAAAAAAAATAGTTTTTTTAACAATCATCAAAGTTAACAAAGTCAAAAAAATGAACCAAAAATTATTTTTATTTTTTATTCTACTGATCGCGATCTCAACCATCGAGGCCGTCCCAATCGACTCGTCAAAAGAACCACTAATTTCGGAAATTGTTATGAAAATACAACGCCTCTCATAATCCCTCGACTTTATATTTGCTGAATTTCCTTTTTTTATCTTGCTTATTAAAAAAAAAAAACGGTTGGAAGATATCTTCATGATCATTAAAGTCATTCTGCACAACTTTAGAAAGATACATAAATTGCTTTGGCCGAAAAAGAACGAGGTTGTCTAGTGAAAATAGTTAATAATCCACTAAATTTTTAAAGAAATATTTCACTTTAAGACGAAAGAGCAGCCATAGTGTCTAAAAAGCAAATATCTCGAAATTGAGCTTATGAATATTCTTCAAAAATAACCAAGCCTTATCTAAGGTGTGATTTGCCTTTGTTAAAAGTCGGTGAAAAAGTAGAGATTTTTGTTGGCAAGAAAAAACATAAATTGTCTTCTTTTAAAGGCATCATTATTGGCTTAAAAAATATAAACCAAATTAGTTACAATTTTACTGTTTTACAAGAGAGAGCAGTCGTGTGGTTGTTAAGCAGATTTTTTTTTATCATTCGCCTACAATTCACGATATTAAAAATGAAAATTGAGGAAAACTAATCAAAAGATCCACCGAGCTAAGTTTTTCTTTTTAGAAGAAAACTAGCAAAAAAGAAAGCTGGAGAATAAGCATAGAAAGCTAGAACGTTTCTAATGTAATCTTTGCGGGATTGGCGGAATGGTAGACGCGCCAGGCATAGGACCTGGTGTCTTTAGGAATAAGGGTTCAAGTCCCTTGTCCCGTACCATAATCAAAAGCCTCTTAAAATATATTATGGGGATGTGTGTTTTGACTTGAACTTAAGAGATAATCATTGCAACGCAAGTTTAAAAAATCAAAATAAGGATAAATTAGAAATCAATAATGATTTCTATAAACCAAATATACCCGTAGGTTTATTTAACAGTAACTACAGTTTCAGCTACGCAAGATAATAATTGATAGTTCGAAATAAGAGAGTCATCTCTCATTAATTGCTGGCATCTGTTCCAGTAATTTCTTATAACATAACAAGAATTAATTAGTAAGGTTTGTTTATTCTCCTGCTGTATTAATTATATAAAAATAAGCTACTTCTTATCTTTAGTTTGCTTATTAGCACGTGAGAAGGAAATTAATAATAAACTAAGTTGTATAAGTGATTATCGCTAGTTTAAGGGCAGGGGTTCAATCTCCTCATCTCCACCATTTAAATTAAAAATTCTCATCTTCAAGCTCTTTAGAACAAGTAGAGGAGGAGGATAGTTCATAAGAAAAGTTTGATTTTATCTTTCGTAAATTTTTTTTTGCAAGTTATTTCTAAAAAAAGACCTTGTGATAATACTATCTATTGAAACTATTTGTTTTGCTAACCACTGTGGTTTGAGAATTCATAACAGTACTTTTTTTAGATGCCGCGTTAATTATAATATTAGAGTTACCAAACGAGTCACTTTTCGCTAGCTGGGCAAAAATTATGTTGCAACGGACACTTTTTACAATATCCTTCTGGTCCACAATAACCATATTTTGGACAATCGAAACGTGTTTTGCAAGCACATCCTTCCTGCTTACAACATAAGTTATTATGACAAAAAGTCAGTTCTGGATTATTTAGAAAAGTACAATCACTATCACTAAAACAGCCTCTACATCTAGATACATTATAGAACTTTGAGTAAATACAATTAGGAAAATATTCCGAACAATCAACACTGGTATCACAAGTACAATCTGGTTTAGTACAACACATTCCTTGCTCAAGATTACAAAATGATCCTAAGGATGATGGACAGTCGCTGTCTTTTTGACATTTTTGGCAACCGTTATTATTATTGCAAAAATACCCATCTGGGCACTGGCTATGATCACGACAAGCTTTGCAATTTCCGTCAATGCAATAAAACCAACCGATTGATATTGCTGCGCTACAATCCGAATCAGTCTTACAAACTCGACAATCACCTAAATCTCCAGCTACTGGATAACAATAAGGGAAGGGAGCGGGACAATCATTATCAGAGTTACATTTACAAGTTCCATCGACGCATTTTTTCAAAGGGCAATCGTCATCGTTATTACACCTATCCACGCATTGTCCTTTAAAACAGTACTGTAAAAGATGTAGGGAGCATTGTGGTTTCATACAATCCTGAGGACTTCCGCAAGAACAATCACCTTGTACATCGGTAGTATAATTCAAACTAGAAGCTTGATTTTTTTTTGTATTATTGAAAACAACATTCCCAAATAATTGAGATGAAAAGCATCCAAATATGAAAAAAAAGATAAAAGCGTTAATCACAAACATCTTAAAAATGTGGTGGTTCGTTTTGTTAACTATTTTGTAAGTGTTTTATAAGTATTAATTCAAAGATGTAAATATTTTTTGTTCTTCGATAATTTTGCTTTTAGAGTTTTTGTTAAAAACTTTAAAGCTTTTGATAACTAATGAATTATTCGTCTTTTTTAAATAGCGAATAACTAATTAATAGATCAGCTGTAGAACTTGCCTACTTCGAAGAATCAATAAAGTTGTAATGATAGCTTTTCCGAATAAAAGATTTACAAATTTTTTTACACGATTATCAACATGTGCATTTTCTATAGGCTATTCTAAAAATAGTTATATAAAAAAGTTAATAATAGATAACTAGTTAATACCTGGTTATTAAACAAGATTCAACAATTTGACAATTGTTCATTTTTTGGTCATTTAAAACTGATTAAAGCGGCAAAGATTTTTACGGGTAAAAAAAGAATAAATTTTGGTAAATTAATTCCTCACCATAAGTAGGACAATTATTCATATACAGTACCAATTAAAAATTTTTTATGATAATACTAGCTGTTGAAACGAGTTGTGATGAAACCAACATTGCGGTTTTGGAAGACCAAAAAATATTAAGTAACGTTACCATGTCGCAAATCTTAGAGCAACAAAAATATGGTGGGGTAGTTCCTGGCTTAGCAGCCAAATTACACTGAAAATATCCCAAAAAGTATTAAGCAAAGCTTTAGGAGGCCAGAATCCATCAAGGAGAGATTTTATTATTTTAAGATCTTCTATTGTAGACTTCTTATTATTTTTGTTATTTCTTTAATTTATAGTTCTCTGTTTTTTCTTTTTTGAAATATCCAGTAAACCATTTATTTCCATTGATGTGTGTTTTATATTGATATACTGTGTGTGCTTTCAATAGAAATTACAAATGTTTTTCTATAATTATATTCATTTGTTCTTTTTTATAGTTGATAAAAAAGATTCCTATTAATATACAAATATAATAAAATGAAATTTCATTACTCAGGTTATATAAAATTTGTCCAAAAAGTCTTTGGACAAATCTTTTTTATTAATAATATACAAATTAATTTTAAAATTTTTAAAATTTTGATTTAATATAAATTTTTTAAAAAAATTATATTTTTTTATTAAATTTTAGGTTAATTTATTTAATTAAAAATTAATTAAGTTATTTTTTACTTAATTTTGATTTTATTTTACAAATAAATAAATTAAAACTATTGTATATAATTTATTTGTTTATTTATTATAAGTTAATTAAATCAAGACTTAAAAAAATTTTTTTTTTGATTATTAATTAATTTTTAATAAATATAATATATTAATAAAAATCTATTAAGTAAATTTGTTTTTATATTGTTATTATTATATATTCAAATTTTATTTTATTTTATTGAATAGTTATTGAATTATGAAAATAAAATAAATTAAAAATTTGTCCAAAAACTTTTTAAACAAACTATATATTTGTAATTTAATTAAAATATTTATAATTTTTTGGATCTTTTTGTAAAATTAATAAAAAAAACAAATATTGTATTATTGTATATTTAGATTGCTATAACATTACCTTTATTATTATTATTATTATTATTTTATTATTATTATTTTTTTGGATATTTTTTGAAGTGTAAAATCTTAAAATCATTATTTTTCTTATTGTTTATCTTTTTTACATAATCTATAAAATCAAATTATAATTTGAAATAAAATATTTAATAGTTTCCATTAATAAATTAATCTTATAAAATTGTCTTTTTCTTTGATAGTTTAAAAATATGTATTGAATAATTAATTTGTTTTTTTCTAATATATTTGTCATTAGAATATCTGCTATAAATTTTTTCTTTTTTGATTATAAAAAATAAATTAATAAATTGTATAATTTATTTTTTGTTTAATAATTTGTAATAATCTGATATTATATATTATATAAATTATTTTTTTTTGTGTATTTATAATATTTGATAATACTATTTCATATACTTTTTTGTATTCAATATAACAAATTCTTATATAAAAAATTTTTCTTATTAAAATTTAAATATTTTCATTCAATTATTTATAAAATTATTGTATTAAATAATATATAACTTGAGTTAATAGAGTTGTAGGCATTTGTTAATTTGAAAATATTTTAAATATATTAAATATAGGATTTTTATAAATATTTCAAATATTAAATAGTTGTTTTAGAAATTGTAATTACTTATCTAAGCATTGTAAAAATAATAAATCTATCTAATAAATTTTTAATAATATATTTATTAAGAATATTTATATATATCTCATTTTTTATTTATGAATTCTTTTTATATTTCTAAATAATATCTGTTTTTACAATCTATCTAAAATTAATATACTATAATTGTATTAAGTATAATAATATCAAAGAAAATTTTCTGATTAATTTATTCTGTTTTAATTTTGTAATAACAGTTGTGAACTATTTTGTAAAATCATACTTTGTTATTTATATTATGATTATTTTAAAATATAAGAAAATATTTTATAATTTCAATTTGTTTTTATATTGTTTTTTCATTAAATTAAATAAACTTATTATATATATTTGTAATTTTATATTATAAGTTAGCTATTAGTGTATTGTTTATTAAATATATTTTTTTGCTATAGTATTATTGTATTGATATTTTTTATATGTTTTATTTGTTAATATGTTATTATATTAATATATTATTATATTATTACTTTTAATATATGTTTCTTGCTATATAATATATTGTTATATTAAAATATTATCAAGGTGCATTATTTAATATTATTGTTTTGTTTTTTTGAATATACATATGTTATATAATTTGATTTATAATTTGATTGTAATTTAATTGATAATAAGTTATAGAAGGTGCAGTTTTTGAGTTGATAAGTTTAGTGATAAAAAGTTTTATTATAGTAATATTACTTCTATTCTCAAGTTTGATAATGTTGAATCCAGCTTGTAATATAAAATCTTGTTGGATATAATGCATTCCATATCAAATTTGCTTTTTATTACTTTGTTCATTTTTGTTTGAAAAAGTTAAATTCAGAGTTTATTAGAATGCCAGCATATATGATATACTTAAGCTGTACTGAAATAATCCAGTATAATATATGTTTAATATTAAAACCATTCTAGTTTTTTTAAATAGCAATAGCAAATGTAAACTTTGTAAACTTTTTTTTTTAGTTTTGATTTGATTAAGTGTATTATTGATTTGCCAGAAATATGCAGTATACTTTCAAATATCAAACTGAATTATTGTATAGTTTAGGTATTATGAATTTATTTTTAACTAATATAATTGATTTTAAGAAAATTTCTAGGTTTCAAGTATATAATTAATTGTTTTTTTTTGTTGCATTTTATTAAATCAAGAGTTAAAAATAAGCTGAAAATATTTGTTTCAGTTTGGATAAATTTAATAAATAAATTAATAAGAGCCATATTATTATATAAGCCAGGATTTTTAAGTTTGAATATATTTTTTGATAATTTTACTAACAATTGAATTGTAAAAAATTGTTTAGAACAGTAAAGTAAAAGTTTTATTTTGATCAATACCATTGTTAATGTTAAGAGATCTGTTAATTTGTAGTGAGTAATAATTTTTAATTCTCTATTATATAACAGATTTAATATTAGTTGAATCAAATAAGAAAATTTTTTTTCTTTTATGGCTTTTTTAAAACTAATAAGATTTATTAAGTCAAAAGCTTTTGAAATAACAAAAAAAAATATTTACAGTTTCTTGCTTAGGTTGTTGACAGTTTTAAACTTTAATATTGCAATAGAGTTGGGCTTTATAGTACTTTAGTTTTTAATACTAGCAAAGTTGAATCCTGAAAGGATAATATTATTGTCAATAATTGAAGAGATTTGTTTATTTATGATTTTTGTAAAAATTTTATACTAGTTTTGATAAGTGAAATAGGTCAGGTATCTGCAAGTTCATAGAATCAGATGATATTTTTGAGAATAAATATAATAACAGATAGTTTTTATTGAATTGAAAACTGATCAGATGTGAGTACTTTGTTAAATAATAATTGAATTTATTGTTTTAATGTTATGTTAAAATTAATTTAAGCTTCAAATGGAATATATAAAGGACTAAAGACTTTTAGTTTGAGAAGATTGTATAATGTGTCATCAATTTTTATTAGTGTAATCTTATCAGTAATACTTTCAAATAATTGATTGTATATAGTTTCTATAGTATTGTATTTGTTTACTCATATTTTATTTAGATTAAATAGTTTTGGTTCAAGAATTTTAGTAAAATGTTTGATATATCAATTAGTTTATTTGGATTTTTATAAAAATGGTTGCCATCAGAAAGTATTGAATGATAAAGTAATAGCTTTAAATCTTCAAGAACTCTTTTAAGACACCTTTGGATTTTTGTCAAATCTGTTATAATTTTTGCTTATTTCTTTTTATAACGTATTCAGAACAATTTGATTTGTCTTAATAACTTTTTATAAATTATTTTTTCTTAAAAGTTTTTATGAATAAAAAATTGCTATTAACAAATTTATTATAGAAGTTGAATACTATTGGATAAAGTTTGAAATTATAATACTAAGTTTTTTAATAACTTGTATTGCTTTTTTAATAAATCAAATTGTAAGATAATAATTTTGAAATGGTTTTTCTTTTTTTTTAGATTGAGTTGTTTTCTAATAGAAATATTATTGTCCATTGCTTTTTTAATTACATTGTTATTTTTTTGTCACAATAATGAAAAAATGCTAAACAGATCAATTCTGTCTTCTTGTATAGCTTGGATTTGTTTCTTAGTTGCTTTTGGAATTGATATACTTATATAGAAAATAATATTCTGCTTGGTTTATATTTAAACCAATTGAAAAC